CCCCCCCCCAGGTGAGGTGGCTAGCACAATCGCACACATGGCCCTGACAGCTGGAGTAGGAAGGACTACAGCATATACACCCGGGGACAAAGAGAAGCATGTACTGGAGAGAGGCAGGTGGGCCTGGTTCAGTCCCCACCTCCCACTCTCACCGGGGTTCACCTCAGACTCTGTTTTCTGTGTCTGTGAAATGACAGTGTTTGCGTGTCACAAGTGAGGCATGGCTCTGCTAGACAGTCTGGGAGACAGTGGGGTATGCAGGTGGGGGATCCCCCACATCTGCCCAGGCAAGTGGCTGCCTGGGCAGAAGGGGAGGAGAGTGACTCCTCATTGCCCACCTACAAGGGGCCTGTAGGGACCGAGGGGCCTACAGACCCACATCCAGACCCAGATTTGGTCTTAGCAGCCAAAGACCCCAGGGCCTCTTTTCACACTGAGCAGAGGCCTCCAGGGATAGTTAGAGCCTAGCACATGTGGGTATACACTTGGTGGGGGATCGTGCTGTGGGGAGGGGGCACATACCGTGGCTGGGGAGGCCCAGGTGGTAGAGACGCTGCGGGTCCTCAAAGGTGCCGGCCTCACTCAGGGCAGACACAAGCCGGCGGTAGTGATCCTCAGGGGCCATGCTGGGCCCTAGTTCTGGCAGCAACAGAGTCTCTGTGTTGGGAGGAGCATAAGGTAAAGGGATTCTCCTTCAGATGCCACCATGGGAGAGAAGCAGAACCTCCCCTCTTAGACCCTGCTGTGGGGCTGATTTTGCCGTGGCAGGGTCTGAGTTACCCCCTCCCTCCTCTGGGACCTGTCCCTCCACCTTGAAGTTGAGTTCCCACCTTGGGGTGGCTTGCTTCGTGCCTTCTTCTCCAGTGGGCACTCACCGCTGACGTGGGGGGTGCGGCCTGGCCTCTTGCCCAACAGGTCACCTGGGGGAGGGTAGAGTGAGCCCCGCCCTGTGTCTCAGGGCTTGGAGGGGATGGAGGCTGGGAAGGCCAGGGGCAGGGAGGGACCCAGCCCAGGCCTCGGTCCCTGCCAACCTCAGCTCAGAGCCTAGCACACGTGGGTAGGGGATCGTGCCATGGGGAGGCCCAGGTGGTAGAGATGCTGGGGAACCAAATCCATCATTGCTCAGGTGCCCTTGGATCCTGGCCAGGTCAAGGCCTTTCCCAGCCCAGGCTCCCAAAGGACATCTTGCCAGGCTTTGGACAGGTCAAGGGACAGTTCTGATCCTGGGCTTTGGGGTATGTGTGTATGTGACAGGAGGTTTGTGGTAACAGCTCAGGTGGCAACTCAGGCCCCCACAGGCACCCTGCTGCCCCTACCCAGCCAGATTAGTCTCCTGTACAAAGTAATGGCCCCTCCTGGTCATTCTGCTAAAGGGGAATGGAAGGCTTTGGTTTAGACCGGAAGCCACTTTACCTCCCCTATCCTCTACCTGCTCAGGGAAGTCCCTAGGCAGCAGGCCCCCAAGGCCACCTTGAAGCCTCCAAGGTCAGGCACACCTGCCATACCAACTCCTGGGTACCTCCACCAAGGCCACACCCCTCACTGCCCTCAGAAGGCCTGAGCCAGCACCCTGGCCTTTCCGGCCACACACCTGCCTACCTGCCTAGCTGGGCTCTGAGCTCCTGAGGGCACCCCTGAGCAGTCTCACCTGCTCTACACAGCCTGGCCATAGTAGTGGGGGGAGGGGCAGCCCCACTTCTCTCCCGAAGGCCTCTCTCAGGTCCTACATCTAAAACATACTCATCTGTCTCCCCAAGGCAGCCCCTTTCCATCCCAGGCCCTAATCCCTCCTTCCTGAGCTCAGGGCCTGGGGTGGGGGTCTCTGCTGAACAGCTCAGCAGATGCCCTGCTCTCCTGGGACCACCCCAGTGCTGGCCTCCAGGCCAGATCCTGTGCTCTGGCCCCCTCTCTGACCTGAGAGGCCGCCTGGGTGGGTGGGGTGAGGGGGCTACCCCCTCTGTGAACCAGGCCTGCCATGACACCTCAGCAAGGCAGGCTTCCCAGAAGCCTAATTCCCAGAGCCTAATTCCTTTCTCTTATTCCCTTAATCTGTCATTTTTATCAGGCCGGGGAAGTGCGGCAGCAGTGAGAGGCCGATCAATCTCCACTTTACAGCTGACAGAATGGTGCTAATAACTTATTGATCTCAGCCACCTCGCTGCCACTGGCCTGGGCTCGGCAGCCCAACCCCTGCCCTGGGAGACGAGGTCCTCACTGCTTGGTTGAAGGGTCCCCACCTCAGTGACCTGGCAGGACAGGTAGGGGGCACAACCAGCCTGAGGGCCAGCCCCCAACAGCCTTGGGGCCTCAGGGCAGGAGGGCCACAACATCCAGCTGTGCTGGGCCTGGAAGTGGCTTTGGGCTGGGTCCACACCCCATCCTGCATACACCCCTTCTGGGTTTAGCAAAGAACCCAGCACCCTCACTTCCCTGAGTTCTGTTTCCCATTTTCCACAGTGGAACCTCCCCTTCCCCTTTCTCTTGGGGGATGAAGGCTCCCCTCTGTCTGGGGGAGGTGCTGCTGGAGGCAGAAGGGCCCACAGTGAGACTCAGCCCTGTGACTACAGTAAGATCCCACCCTGGAGATCTGGGGGCCCACCAGTCCCTGATGAGGGCCACACTCACTCATAGACCCACACACACAGTCGTAAGATGCCAGCATGGACCCCAGCTGAGCCCCTCACAGACCTCCGCGGCCCTTCCTGTCTAGGATCCAGGGAAGGACCAGGGCTGGGGTTGTGGGAATAAGATTGACAAGCGGCTCCCGGAGAAGCAAGAGGAGGTGACGGCAGGCAAATGTCTCCACCCAAGGGCCCACAGGCACAAGTGGAAGCCAATGGGGGACTGCAGCCCCGAGGAGAGGGCAAACTCTGACAAAACCTGGGCACAGCGCACACATGTGACACTCCATGCAGAGCACCTGTGACCCCTGACACGCTTGTACGCCCGTCTCAGCATAAAGTGAGAGTGAGGACACAGGTGTGTGGCATGGTGACACCCAGACACGGGGTGTGAGCTGGGTGCGGGGCCACGCGAAGGCCCCAGGCATGCAGCCCCAGCTGGGAGCAGGGCACGCATGCACACTCGTGCTGTGTACCGTGGGGAGGTCTCCATGTGTACGGGCAGCATGGGGAGGGCCTGCTGGCTTAGAATATCTCAATCACTGTGTGGCTCCCGCAGCTCCGCCCGATCGATGGGGCAATTAGATTTTATCAGCTGCCTGCTCAGCCGCCTCCAACAAGGCTCCAGAAGCAGCCCCCTCACACCCACCCCGTAAAGGCCTTCCCAGGCACAGGCACGCCTGGGGGCACTAATGGGGGATGACCGTCTTCTCCCCAGCCTTTCTGAGAGCGGTAGCCACTGCCGGCAACTTCCCTGCCCAGGGTCCGTAGGACTGCGAGGGGCCCCTGCCAGCTCCTCTTACCTCCCCTTTAGCTGAAGCTCAGCCATGCCCCATTCTCTGCAGCAAAGCCTTGTGGCCAAGTCCCCTCTGGCCTACTCCTCTGTTGGGGGGGGGTGCGGTGTCCCCCAGCTGCTCCCTCCTTCTGAGCTCCTGCTGCCCCCAGGAGCCGTCCCTCTGAGATGACCCCAGGAGCTTCTGAGCTAGCACTCTCCTGCCTCACCCCTGCAGAGATGCCCCCTCTCTTAGGTGAGGGACCCCCTTCCTCCAGGTGCCTGTGCTCCATGCGGTCGGTGGGCACTTTCATGCATGTAGAGCATGTCCCTGCCCTCAAGTGAGCCATTCACTATGTGCATTTCTGAGCCTCTATGAGGCCTGCACATCCGTGACTGTCCTCCTGCTTCTGCTCCTATGGGAAGGGGATGGCAGTGGCCTTGGCCACTCCAAGCCCACCCCAGAAGCAGCCACGGTGGAGCCACTGCCTGTGCCTCCTGTCTGCCCAGCTGGCCGGGATTAACACAATTACCATCACATGGAGCCCCAGGGGACAGCCGGCCTTGCCACCTCCCGCCTCCGCTGGCCTCCCTGGCTGCCAGCCAAGGCTGCTGGGGGTGGCGGCATCCAGAGCTGCTGAGCAGAGATACTGGGAGGGTGGCAGGGCAGGCTGTCCCCAGGCTGAGCTGCAGTGGCCCTGGCAGCCCTGTTCTCTCCCCCCCGCCCCCCAGCTCCTCACCTGCAGCTCCCAGGCCGATCTCCACACCACCTCTCTGGAATTCACAGCGGCTCTGATGCTCGGGCATAACGAGGTGGCGGCTACGATGGACGCTGGATATGAGGGTGGGCAGGTCACTGTCCTGGCTGTCGTGAAGCAAGACAGTGAGGGTGAGACCCCAAGAGGCCGTGTGCCCAGTGCTGGGTACAGCAAATGCCTGACCGAGCTCGAGTGTGGGCACGCATAGAGCCCGAGGACAACACAAAAGTGCAAGGCCTCCTACACACCTCTCTGTGGCCTGTGACAGCACACATGTGGGCATCCCCACGGCCGGTCCCAGGGGAAACATCTAGTGGGTGTGACCTATCCAGCCCCACCCAAGACCACTAGGACCTGCCAAGTGTCTACCTGGCACGGGACCTTACACTCAGGCCCCACCATGGTCCCCAGGGAGGGCGTGTACAGAGCTCAGGAGCCCAGCTCAGTTTTGCCATGCTCTCCCCAGAGTGACCAGAGCAATCACCAGGCGGGGGGGGGGGGGGGGGGGGGGGGGGGGGGAGGTCTGCTCATGAGAAGGTGCCCAGAGAGGACACACACTGTCATACATGCACATATCACTTATCTAGCACTTAACTACTGTGCTTCACTAAGGAAGTTGCACGCGCTCTTTCAACTAAAACTTGTAACCACCCACAGACCCTCAATTTCTTCAAATAAGGAAACCAAGATTCAGACCAAAGTCCTGCAGCCAATGAGGTGTGTGCACACACAGGGACACGTGTACACTCACCCAAAGGGCCTAAAGAGCGTGCACCTACAGACACACACAGACACACAGACACACAGACATACAACATGAATTGGGAGCCTGGTCCTCCCGTGTGTTCAGGACACTCTGCTCTCCCCAAGGCTCCCAGCTAAGAGCCTCAGCCACCAGGCATGTGCGGGCCTGGAATAAGCATGCATTTAACTCTTTTGTTTCCTCATTTCTCTTCCTGCTAATTCAGCTCAATCCTACACCACAGAGTCCCAGAGAAAAGAAGGAGTGAGAAGATCTCAGTGCGACTGTGTGTGTAAATGGCCCCATTTGCTGTTGATGTTCTTGGCACAGGGAAGGGTCACCCGCCATCTCACAGATACAGCCTAGAGCAACAGGAAGTCAAGACAGAACAGGAGAGGAGCAGGGAGGGCCCTTGGCGCCCCACCCTCCCCAGGACCATTGTTCCCTGGCCCACCTGTACCAGAGCAGCCTCCCAGCTGGGCCCCTGCTAGAGGGCCTCCACGGAGTGACCTGGGAACCGACCCTAAACCTCATTAAGTAGCCCCCAGCCCCCCTGGCCTGGGCGGCTGGAGTAGGCTAATCCAGGCTGGCCCCTAAGCAGATCAGTTTCAGCCCCCAAAGACTCCAGGGCTGGGCTCTAGAGCCTTCTGGGAGACCCAGATGTGGGTTCTCTCCCCACCCCCACCGCCTCTCCCAGGAGGAGAGAAGGGCCCCCCCTACGCAAACAGGAGTGCAGGTGGGGTGGGAGTAAGTACTTTATGGGATTAATTGGCAGCAATTCTCATCCCTCTATCATCCTCATCAATGCGAAGGTGTTGAGGAGAGAACTGCTGTCCTCAGCACTAGGGAGGGGGTGAGGGGGTGTCTAGAGACGCCTCCGAGTTCTCCCCTGAGGGGATCCAATTCTGGTGTCCCCAGGGCTCCTATAGGAAGTGAACCAACTACCCGCAGACCGGATAGGTGAGGAAGGAGCCCATCAGTTTGTTCCCCATGAACCCTTAGTCCAGCGCCCACACAGGGACCTTGGACTGTCCCCCCCCCCCCACTATGGCCATCAGTTCTTTTACTGACAGGTCAGTTATTCGGGCACAGGTGCTGTGGCACGGTGGAAGTGAAGCCTAGCAGGAATCAGAACACTGCCGCCCACCCCACCCCTGCTCTCTGCCTTGGGGGTTTATCCCACAGGGCCCAAGACAGCCTGGAAAACATGTTCTGGTCATCTGGCCACTCACTGAACAAAATATGCCAGGTTTTATATAAAGAACTACAAAGAAACAGCAGGCTGAAAATGCGTAAGCCTTGCGTTTGGCATCCCAAGTACGAGGTTCCTGTGGCCATGGAAACACCCTCTGCTGCGTCCTGCTGTGCACAAGGGACAAAGCCCATGAGGGACTTGGGAGGCTCTCTGTGGCACCATGGAGTGGGGCTGTGTGTCAGAAGGTGAGGGGGAGAGCTTGAGTGACAGAAGGGGCTACATGGAGGAGGGTATGCTGCGAGGATGAGGGAGAAGGGTCTTGCCCCTTGGACCCCAACTCTCTCTGAGGGGCACCCTGGGCTCCTCCAGGCTCCCTCAGCGACTGTCATACTGTCCAGGCCTTGCCCATATCCTAGCCAACTCAGGGGCCTCAGGAGGGCAGGGACCATATCTTCTGCCTGCTGCCTGGGGTGCATGGCCCCTGAGGTGGGAGTTTCAAGCAGGCAGGCCAATGGATGGAGAGAGACAGACAAACGGAGAGTGAGAGATGAGGACGTTCGAGCAGACAGGCACTATCGAGTGGACGGATGCAGAGATCGAAAGGATGAGAATAGCAGAGAGACCGACGGACAGAGCCTAGAGAACAGACAGGAGACAAGGACAGACAGACGGGGCCAAAAGGAGCCAGGAAGAGACAAAGACAGCCGGGGAGGGGGCAGTGTGAGGCAGCTGGGCTGTGTGCCTGGCCAGAGGCCGAGGGGCCGTACCAGCAGGTAGAGGGCGGATGGGCTGTAAGTCCTCTTGACCATGCTCTGCCCCTGCCCCCAAACTGCAATCTCCCCTCTGGTAAAATCCAGAAAGTCATCCCAGACACCTCTGGGAGCTTGTGTAAGAGTGAAGGACCCCACATGCACTTGGACTTGGCCCCTTACCAGGGGCCCCCTGCGTCTGGACACCTGGGACCTTCTCTCACTTTACAAGGCTGGGGTGGATGAGGAGGGGGCTGCCGGCAGGAGGAGTCATTCTAGGAGTGCAGGAGCCTCCCTTGGGTTCCCTATAAGCTTCGCTGACAAATGTATCCTGTGGCTTCCCAAGTAAAAGGCTCATAAAATGTCATCAATGTTCATGATGGTTCATAAAAATGAACAGTTGAGTGGGCAACTTCAGAATGAGGTGGAAATAAGTTTGAAGGTGTTTTCGTTGTAATCCGGCTCCAGGACCCAAACATTTTCAGAGATGTAACTAAGAACACATATGGCACAGGGCCAGGCTGGGGGTGGGGAGCGCAAGCCCCTAACCTGCTGGGCTGGCCCCTTCCTGTGTCCTCCCTGGAAGCCCCAGGGTAAGACTTGACCCCGCTGACCAGAAACCACAGCCTGGGCTGCATCCACAGACTGACCATCCTCTGCCCCTCTGGAACCTGGAACTTGGGCCTTCTCAATGTCCCCCAACCTCCTCATCAGGTCCCCTCATTTTCTCTCCTTACTAAGTCTTGGGTTTGCAGCCCCCCTGCCCTCCCCCATGCTTCTACAGCCTGAAGTGCCGTGTACTGGAGCAAACCTCCAACCTCCTGGGCAGGGCCTCCAAGAAGGACCCCATCAAAACACTCTGTCAGTCCTCTGCTCAAGAACTTCAGGTGGCTCCTCACTGCCTGGAGGACCCTGTCCTACAGCCTCAGCATCCAAAGTTCTTTAGCATTCAATTGAGTCAGACCTGCCAGTTCCCCCCAAACCCCCACCCCCATCCCACACATCCCCTTGCCTTGTTCTTCCATACCTCTGCAGACTTCCTCTTTCCCTAGTAAACGCCTATGCATCCTGTAAGATCCCACGTACAACCACCATTCTCACCTCCTGGTGGGTCTTTGGGAGGGTGAGAGGGAGAGGTCACGGCCTCATCTTTGGGCAGATCGACTCAAATGGCCAGTCCCATGTGGGAAGGGAAGTGCACTCTGGCTCCAGGATTGGGCTGCTCAGAACCCATGCCTGTGCTGCCGGCAAGGCCCGGGCACAAGTCGACAGACAGACCACAGAGTAAGGAGGGGAGGAAGGGAGGGAGCTAGAGAGATTTAGCAGCAGACCCAGGGGACATGGGGCAACAGGTCTCCATCCTGCCCATGCACAGGGTATGGGGAAAAGCCTGGCCCAGACCCGAACCCTACCTGCAGGACGTCTCTCGGAAGGAGATGTTCACGTCCCAGTGGGTGTGGACTCTGCAAGGAGAGAAGCAGAGGGTCAAAGTGGCCTCTGGGACCTAGCACGTGAACAGCAGGGCATGGGTATGGCATAGCCCTCATCTGCCCCAGAGCGCTGGCCCCAAGGGAACTGGGCTGGCTCAGCTTTGTCTCCTGTGCCGTCTGGTACCAGCTCAACCAGCCGGTGGCTGACATCAGGATAGAAGCATGGGGTGGGAGCCAGTTCCTGGTCTCACGGAACAAAGAAACTGGGAAGGACGGAATCGAGGCTGCCATACCTCTGCCTCTTGGTGCAGTGAACCCAGAAGAGCCGCCACGTTGTGCAGAGGGGGCAGGGCAGCCTAAGGCTTCTTCTGCCCAGCAGCCACATGACTGAACCCAAACTGCTTGTTGTTAGAGCTGCTTCGGCCAGGCTGGAACCAGGGCACGGAGCAAGCCCCCAGACTGCCGCTAGCACCAACGGTTCAGTGTCAGCCCAGGTGGGTGCAGCTCCCTGGGTCCCAGGTGCTACCAGTCTGCCTCTTGAAAGGGAGCACCGCGCCCCGTAGGTAGGAGGGATGCCCGAACAACAGTACGACAGTCAAGTAAGGAAACGGCTCTGCCCTGTGCCTGTGTCCTCACCCACAGCAGTGCTCCCAGAAAGACCCTCGGGCTGAAGGAGGGTGGCCGGAAGCCTGTGTGGGCGTGTCAACTTAGCCAACGGGGGTATGGGGGCTGGGAAGTGGGGGTGTTGGGGGTTTGGGAGGGTTATTGGGGGGTAGGAGAAATTGGAACATGTCAAAAGACTACGCGAGAAGAGAAAAGGCCTCGAGACTCTGGGGATGTGTGACATGTGCTGGATGGACAGACAGACAGATGGAGGGATGAAGAGGTGAGTGGACAGAGGGAGGTGCCTCTGACAGGAGGGGAGAGGGTGGGAAGTCAGGAATAGTGACCCTCAAGGCTGGAAGGGACGGTGAGAAGCCAGGGGAGCCGCTGCTTGCCAAGGAGAATGAGCTTGAGCGTTTTAGGGGCTGCTCAGCCTCCTCCTCTCTGCCTGGCTGTGGTGGCGCCAGGCCATCCCTTCCTGGGTCTCCCTGACTGCCCTCCTCCTAGAGCCGCTGGCCCAGCCTCCTTCCTCCCCCCCCACAGACCCATGTTGGCCCCTCCCTCCGGGTGGGTTCTCACTATGGTCCCGTGGCATGGAGGGGTTCAGGCTATTTCAGCTTCGGCAGATACCAAGACAAGAAAATCCAAACTTGGGCCCTGTCCTGAGGTCCAAGGGCCCTCACCCTGGCCTGGCTCTCAGCTGCCCGGAGGCCCCAGTCTTGATGTCCCTCCCTCACCACCACAGCCAGAGCCCATGTGCCCTCCCCACCTGGTCATCGGTAAAAGTACCTTCTCTTCATGATACGGACATGTGGGGTGTCCTCCTGCTTCAAGCCTGGCCGCTGCCCATAGGCGGGGCCGTTCCCATCGCTGTCACCATCACTGGCCGAGAAGCTGGTGGTCAGCTCCTTCTTTAGGACCCGCGCAGTGGGGAGGGCAACCGTCCTCTTGTCTGCCAGCCGCCCCCGGTTCTGGGAAGGGAGGGAGCAGAGGAAGGTTAGGCTAAATCAGGACCCTCAGCCTCCTGGGCAGCTTGCACCCCAGGCCCAACCTTCGGGCAGGGCCCGGGTGACAGAAGCCCTCACAGCAACCACTAAGATCAAATAGGGACCATCAAAGGCCCTGCTAAGGTGCTTCTAGCCTGCAGTGCAGGCCCCAGGGTCCACATGAGCCCCGGTGGCTACAGGCGAAGACAGGAGCAGAGAGCTGAGGCCTGGGTCAGCGACCCCTCCACAGACCACCTTCCTTGCTCCATGCCACCCTGCAGGGGGGTGAGGCAAAGGGCTGTAGGCCCTGGCCAGGCTGCTCATGACACATGCCTTGTCCAGACTCCATAGTCCAGCCTCGCTCCCTCCACAGGCGATCAGCCTGAGTGCGGGGATGTCCACCAGGAGGCCAGCCCCAGCTTTCCTGGCGCCAGGGAGCCCCAAGAGGCCGTGAGAGCCCCCACAACAGAGGTCTGTGTTCTGCCACTTGTTCAATGTGCCGTTACCACTGTCTGCATGTGTTTGCCGGACAATCCCACACGGCTCCTGTGTGAACCCCCAACCGATGCCAGGTCCTTTTTCTGTTCTGCTAGTGCCATGCCAGGTCCAGTTCAAGGGCAGTGTGAAGCCTGAGTCTGGGGCCTGAGCCTGCTGATCCCTTGCAAACTGCAGTCCTGGGGTTCGCAGGTCACCTGGTGGGGAGGCCTTACCAGCCCAGACCCTTTGACCCAGCCTCTGGGGGCCCAGCCTCTGGGTCAGAAACAGAGATTCAGTATCTCTCACAATACCTACTTCTCCCCACCCTGCACCCATGTTGTGAGTATGTGGATGCATGTGTGTGCCGTATGCTGGGAGATCAGAGCAGGAGGCATTTGCACAGACGTGGAGGCCAGTCCGCACTGAGCTTGTCCACGCTCAGAGCATGCTCACACACCAGTGGGACAGGCAAGGTCCCTATATACCACCGCTCCCTCCAGTGTCTTTAGGTCCTGCCGCCCCAGTGGAAGAAAAAAGTTATCGATTATTTTCTGGTGGGCAGGAAGCTTTTTCTTATTTAACTTTTTTTTTTCAACGTTTATTTATTTTTGGGACAGAGAGAGACAGAGCATGAACGGGGGAGGGGCAGAGAGAGAGAGAGAGACACAGAATCGGAAACAGGCTCCAGGCTCTGAGCCATAGCCCAGAGCCTGACGCGGGGCTCGAACTCACGGACCGCGAGATCGTGACCTGGCTGAAGTCGGACGCTTAACCGACTGTGCCACCCAGGCGCCCCAGCTTTTTCTTATTTAATAACAGGTTGCTGTTTCCGGGAGGTGGCAGGGATCTTGGGATTATCTAATTCTCTCTCATCCTTTATAGTTACTGAGGCCTCCTCAGACACCCTCTTCCCCGTTGCCAGGACAATGTCACCATACCCGGGGGCCCGAGGAGGAAGGTGTGAAGGAGGGTCTTGTCTCACCAGTGTCATCCTGGACCTAATGGACAGCTGTGCAGCCACCACAGTAGTCCTGTCCTCCAGAGTAAGGGTCCGTCTCTTCAGACCCAGCCCACTCAAGCTCCAGATTTGGGCAGTGGTGCCGAGAGCCAGGGAGCCCTGGTCTTCTCCCCCTCCTCAACTGGGTCTGGGGACCACAATTAGCCCCATCCCCAGACTCCAGGAGCCAGTCTCCATAAGCCAGCCCTTATGAATCCGTTTGGGACACCCTCATGTTCCTCTCTGCAACACACTCAATGAGATATACGGGACAGCATTGGGGTGGGTGGGGCATGGAGTCTGAGGGTAGGCCTGAAAGATGAAAGGGCCTGCTTTGTGGCCCCTTCTGAGACCCTGGCCTTGGCCCTGTGCTCTATTGGAAATAGCAGAGAGTGGGTGAGGCTGTAGGTGTGACCGCCTGTCTGGTCCCCGTGCCTCTCTGTGCCAGCTAGTGGGCTCCAGGGGGAAGTGTTTGCAACAGCCCCTGGCCTGTCTGAAGTGTGCACTGCTGGGAAGTCCCCTCGGCCCTGCCCTTCTCTAGCCTATTGTAGCCCAAGCACCTGGACCTCCTCTCCTTTCTGCTTTAGTTAAACTATTCTCTCGAGAAGAAAAGGAAATGCATTTCCCTCTGCTTCTCATCTGTAAGACAAGGGAGAGGAGAGGGAAATGACAGCAGTAAGACTGCCACCTGGGACGGAGCCTGACCAGCTGTGCTGGCCTGGAGTGGCTCCTGTGAAGGGGAACTGAGGAAGAGGGACCAGGGCCCCAGCCAAGGACAGAGAACATACGTGCCTCCCAGGCACACCCAAGACCTCAACCCGTGCTCGGCAGCACAGATTTGAAAGCTGGGTGCCCAGCCTCTGCCCCTCGCCAAGCACTGGCCCCTCAGAGTGCAAGCGTGGGTACACGAAAGCCAGCTTGCATGGCTGCACGATCCCTGAGCCACATGCACACCCACATTCTGCCCCTGGAGTATCTGTGACTCTGAAGTGCGTACGTACCTTTGGGCCTGGCTGTGGGGGGGTGTAGAGCAAGACAGTCTCTATGTGGCTAAGGTGGATGCTAGAAAGACAAGGAAGTCTGTGGAGCTCCTTCCTAAGGGTGAGGTACAGCGATAGGCTTGGGAGGGACCAGGTTCAGGAGAGGCAGGCCCGGGTCTGAGGCATCCCTCCTGTAGGGCAGTGACCTGAGAGCCCCAGACAAGTAGGCAGTTCTAGGCTGGGCCTCATCCCTGTCTCACCTACCCACCCACCCTGCCCCCAATCCAAGCAGTGTCCTGGGGAAACTGATACTGGGCTCAGGCCACCTGTACCCCACCCTCTTGGGAGAGATCTCTGGAAGAGTGGCCAGGCGTATCCTCCCACCCAAGGAGAAACTCCAGGCCAGCCTGGAAGGTGCCCAGAGGACTCTTCTCCAGTACCAGCTCCTTGGAAAGGTGCATATGTGGGGAAGGAACTCAGTCTCTTGCCCCAGGCAGGAACCGTGGTGGTGGGCAGGAGGCCGGCTGCCTGTGCAACAGACTCTGGCGATAAGCCCGTGTCAGGCACGTGATTGGGAGGCACAGGGAGGCGGCTGCATCCCTTCCCTGTCCAATCTGTGCTGCCTGATTTTGGCAAGTCTGTCTTCACAGGGGTGTCTGTGGCTTCCCAGCTCGCCCAGCTTAGCTACCTCCGGGGTCCACAAGGAAACCAAGACGTCCCTTTCTCCTTCCTACTTAGTCCAGCAAAGGAAGCCGAAGGTGGGTGTCTCGGGTCCTCTCTCACCACTCCTGTGAGAGAGGGTGCTGCCGATGGTGCCAGGAACAGCAGAGGACCCTAACTGCCACCAAGAGCCAGGCCCCAGTGGCTCTCCCCCAGAAGCTCAAAACTGGTTCCTCTCAAGAGACAATTTCCTCTTCAGATCAACCCTCCAACTACCGCTGCCTGGAGGACATGTGACATGGAAGACAGTGCTTCAGGGGCAGGCACAGCACCCTGATCTCTGCTGCTCCACAATGAGGTCGAGGAGGGCCAAGCGCCTGGGGTTGGGGACCACACGCCTCCAACCCCAGTTCTGACACTAAAGGCCCACACTGCCTGGGATTCTGCCCCCACTGGGCTGTATCTTCAGACCTCCCCTGGCCACCCCAGAGCCTTGCCCAGCAGGGGTCTAGCTCTTGGCATCCACACATGTTAGTCACAGCTAAGCTGTGACCACCCCAGAATGCACATTCCAGGCCAGCCACTGTTACATCCCAGAACAAGTTTTACTCCTGGGACCAGCCTTCTCCCAACCTGGGCCAGCTGACACAGTGGGACTCCCCCCCCCTCAGCCCAAACATGTGACAGGGCAGATCCCCAGGCCAGCTGGATGACATGTCCAGGGAGTGACACCTTCACACCCTGTCCCTCAGGAGACCTTGTGAGAAGGTCAAGGCTCCTGCTGAGTGGCTCCAAGATAGGCGTGATTGTGTTCTCTGCATAAAGGGGAGAGGCTCCCCAGGATTCCCACCCAAAGCAAAGTCTCCCCTGTTTGCTCTTCAGGGGCTCTCCTGCCTCTGGCACGACTTGGATCCTAGAAAACAGGCATAAGCTCTGCAGGGGAGAACAAGATCCCAAAGCCCCAATTTTCTCCCACATCTCACCACTGGGGGGAGGATATCTTGGCTGGGCCTGACAGTCGCAGATCGTGGGAGGGTGCACCTGCAGAATCCCTTGGACATGTTGCCTCAGACTTTTTTCCGTGAGGAGGGCTGAGGCAGAAACTGGTGAGAGCAGGGCTGGGCACAGGTAGAGTCGACGCACGCAGGAACGCTGGGGCGCAGTAAACTGCAAGGCCCGCTCCTCCCACGTGTGTCACAACCACCTCAGTCCAACTTCCACCCCAGGCCTGGCTGCCCACCCCAGCACTCCGCGGAAGCCACGGGGATCTTGCAGAGCTCAGAAACTCTAGTTCCCGGCAGAGCGCCCTCCCCTGACCAAAGCTGCCCCTCCTTCCCGCTCCCTCAGTCCCCTCCCGCGCTCTAACCCTCTGCCTGTTCAGGGGACTGGGAACTGGGCCCAGGAAGGGATTCAGCGCGCAGGTGAACGGCGCTGCCAGGACCTGGGATTCCCAGTGCGTGACCCTGCAGCGGGAAGAGGCAGCCACAGCTGGAGCCGCGAACCCCAAAGCCCAGACACCCGACAGGGTCTCCTGTTCTCTACCCCAGACCCCCCGACCTCGCGCCTGGCGCCTGCCGCGCTTCCCTGCGCCACCTGCTCAGGCGCCTGCACTCGCGCCTCGGAGCCAGACTCCTCTGGCAGGCTGCCACCAGCCCTGCTGCCTCCAGCTCAGGCGCGCCTCTGCCTGACGGGTGCGCGCCCCTCGCGCTCTAATTTGCCTGGTGCTACCTAAGACACCTTTCCTTTTTCCTCTTCCACTGAGTCTCATCGCCTGGCTGCATGTCTCGATTTCTGGCCGACCCCTGGGGGCTCACCGCACCAGGGAGGTGGAAGTGTGTCCCGCCCAGCCGGTCTCCCGCACTTCCTGAGTTCCTGTAAACTTCCCGAGCCACAATGCCTGGAGCCAGGGAATCCTGCAAAGTCCCTTCCGAGTGGGAGGAGGGGCCAGCAGTGCAGCTGGGAGCCCAGAGCACCGCGGCCCAAGCTAGTGACGGTGGGAGGCCGAGGGAGCTCACTGGTCCACTGCTGGGCGACCAAACATGTGGGGGCGGGGGGGCTGGGAGGGCTGGTGGGGAGGTTCCTGCTGCAGCCCCGGAGCTGCAGCGCCCTTCTGGGCGGAGACGGAGTCTCCCAGGCAGAATGAGGGGTCCCGACCAGGGTCCTCGGGGAGCGGAGGAGGATGGTGGCGGCCGCACTTGTGGTGATGCTGCGCTTCAGCCCCGCTTTCCGCTGCTGACGAATTGGAACTGTTGGGTGAGCCGGTGGCGTGATGACTGACCTTTTGCTGTTCTGGCAGAGAAAATGCAAGTAGCGCGGTTATGCCGCACTCCGACCTCGATGGACGGCTCGCCGCTTGTCGAGCAGCGGCTGGAAGTCCGCGCTGCGGGCCGCAGAGAAGCGCTCGAGGGCCAGGGGGTCCCGGGCAGGTGGAGGGGTACGGGCGGCCCTGTGTATTCAGGTAGAGGCGGCGGCGAGCGGAGGACGGAGCCACCAGCGCGCCTCGCAGCCGGCGGTCGCGGCGGTAGCGAGGCGGCCGGGGCAGGGCGGCCGAAGCTGGCAGTGGTGTCAGGTAGCCTGGGAGCGGCGGCAGTGGTAGTGCGGCCAGGGTCGGACGGAAGGCGGCCAGAGCCAGGGCCAGGGTCCGCGGCCTGGGGAGCCCTTCTTGACTGGCATGGCGGGCCGGTGGTCCTGCAGCCCGGTTTCCGCCGCGCAACTCTGTTTGGGCCCGGGCTGATATTCTGAGGCCGGGGGGGCCCAGGAGTCGCCCTGGTCGCGCGCCCGCCCTATCCGCCACTGCACCCCAGCACTGCCGCCGCGTGCCGTTCCTGCCAGCCACCTCGGACCGCTTCCCGTCGGCTGAGAGGGCCTCGGCTGCCCGAGTCATGGTGCCGCGGAGCTGCCACGATCTCCTTATCGCGCCCGGAGCGCCAGGGCTCCACAGGGGGGGGGCGCTGGCCACCCGCGCCCGCGCCCCGTGGAGGCGTGGCCCTGCCCTGCTCGCCGGACTGCCCGCCGGCCCAGCCTGGCAGTGGAGTCTGAAGTTCAGGCCCTGCCCTGCCCCGCCTGGGGTCCCAGGCCCAGGTCCTCGCCGCCCGCCGCCCCGGGTGCACCTGCGCACTGGCGCGCCCAGGCCCGGCGGGGACTGACCGTCGTTTGCCGCCGCCGCCGCCGCCGCCACAATCCTGGCTGGCCCCGAGTTTAAACTGGCCCCGGCGCGGCGGGCGGGCGGGCGTGGGCTCCGGCAGGGTGCATGGCCGACTGGCTCACGCGGTGGCTGGCGGCGGGTGGCGGACGGGCTGCACGCACCCTTGCCTCATTCCCGAGTGGACAAGGATAGGGAGAAAGGAGTCCTGCGCGAAGGCGTATGCCGGCGAGAAGTCGCGCGCACCTACCGCGCCATTGCTGAGGGAGTCACTGGGCGCAGCTGGAGTCCGGACTGCACGTGGGGGGGAGGGCGGCCCAGGACCCGAGGGCCTTAAATGGAGATGGGGGGATCGGTGGTCTGGGACTGCCTGCTCGCGTGGCGTCAGGAGTGTTGGCACAGCGGCTGTGGTGGTGGGCATTACTGTCGGGCGGTGGTCTCTCTACCTGCAGGGTGAGGCTGTGGTTTGTGGTGTGTGGCCCCCAGCAGATGTGTTGGGAGGCCATGTTTCAGAGTAACAACAATTTGTCAGCCATTGCCACCCATTGGCGCGCTTACATGCCTTAGTTCACTTGATCATCTCAGTGAGTTTTCCTCATTGTTTCATTTATGATGAGAAGGAGACACAGAGGTCAAGTAACTCTCTTGATGTCACACAGCTGCTTTAAATCCAGGCCATCTGGACACCAGGACACACCAGCCACACGCCAGGGCAGGAAGGTGGGCTGGGCCCCGTCTGAGTGAGGGTTGGGGATGTGGGAAGAGGAGGGGCCAATGAATGTGGGATTTCAGCAATTTGAGAACATTTAAGTTCCCTGTTAGGAGTCTAGGGAAGAGGAACCCGCTACATCCATGTCCACTTTATGTCCTTGAGGTAGCAGGTCTGGAGGAGGGTAGCTTTTCCCACCCTGCCTCCCTGCACAGCAGCATGTCAGCTACAGGACATTAGGAGAAGAAACAGAAACCCACCCCTCGCGAGCTGCTGAGACAGGTTTGTCTTTCCTGGTTATTTGACAAGCCAGAAAGTAGCCTCAGATCCAAACCCAGCACACAGCACCCCTCCCTCAGCCCTGTGAGATGTGCTTGGTAGGGCGTCCACAAAATGTCGGACCCCTAGATGGACATTCACCTTGGTGGCCCTTGTCTTGCTCAGGGTGTGGAAGCCTCCGCCTCTGACCCATGCAGGAGGGGCTGTTGCTGCCTGGGGTTGAGCCATGGCCCACGGAGCAGCCATCATGTTAATCTGTGGCTTGCACAGAGGCTGTCAGACTCAGAGGGGGGCCAACTGGTCTCTGCCTGGCCACAGCCCTGACACTGCTTTCAAAAGATGGTTTCTCCACCACTTCTTCATGTTTGTTCGCACCTGTTCACGGATCCCAGGCCTCCTAACCCCTGACCTTTAAACCAAGGCTGGGAGGAAGCCTAGTGGCAGAAGCATGTTCCCAGATCTGAGAAGGTACCATGTACTCATGAGGAGCCTCCCCTTCCCTTCTGCAGGACCACTCCTCGGCCTCACCTGGCCTCTTTCATCCTGAACAGGGCCTGTGGGGAAGGAGGGGCATGGAAGCCCCTGACCTTGGCTTCTCATACAGGGAGCAGGATCCAGCTGGCAAGGCATGGGGGCCAATCCTAGCTCACCCAACCTAACCTCCATGCTACTGTCTTGCTCACCTCTTTGGAGTGACCAAGGCGCTTCCTGAAAGACCATGACTGTGGGGTCAAGTTCCTTGCAGAACTCTTTCCTCGTATACCTGACTTTGGAGACCTCTTCCAGGCTGTCCAGGCTTGGCTTAATCAGTTCACCCTTTACCTCACTCCCCTACCTGTTTCCCTTCGGGACCTTCACCACAGGGTCAGAGCCACCGACTAGATGCCCTGTCCTGGATACACTCCTTCCACAGGGATCTGCTCACTTCTTTCCTCCTCATTCACCTTCTGTCCTGGTTTGGCATCTGGGGCCCTGTGTGCTCTGCACTTCTGACTGAGCCAGAGGTCGACGGACAGGTACCTCTTGGCTCTAGAACCACCCTCGGCCATGTTCTGAGTTCAAGGCACCTGGGGAACACTGGTGGGCTAGGAGGCCAAAGCCCCTCCTCCGACTGCAGAGGCCCTGCCTCTCTCTTCTTCTCCGCCTCTGCGGCGCCTGTTTCGCGGTACCCCCTCTGGGGGCCCTCCGCCGCTGGGCCGAGGCCGGAGCCGCGGCCGCCGCCGCCGCCGCCACCGCCGCCGCCGCCGCCGCAGCCGCCAGGGAGGGGGAGGGGGAGGGGGGTCATAAATAACCCGCGGGGCGGCTCGGCCTGAGCAGCGCAGACTGTGACCCGAGACGTCTCCGGGGAACGCGGGGCAGCCCGTAGACCCTGCTGCCCCCAACCCGGGGCTCGGCCAGCCATGACCGCCTCCTCTGGCGCTATCTGACCCTGTCCACAACTGGCGTTCCTGCCAGAAGCCTCCCTCCCATCCTGGAGTGCCTACCTACCCTCCTCCCCAGACTGCTCCCCTTAAAGCCCCCTTTTGAGCCATTCCTTCACCAAGCAATCATTTATTGAGCACCAGATGTGGAACCCCGGGAAGAGAGATGGGTGAGGTTGGAAGAAGAGAGATGCAGAGGAGACCTGCTCCCTCAGCCTTAGTCTTCCTGAGCTCATCTAGGGTGACTGTCGGGGTGGGAGAGCAGGCCCAGACATGCCAGACACAGGAAGGCATGTAGGGACAGATCACACAGGTGTGGGCACAGCTGACACAGCTGTGAGGAAGCACATCCACGGGTACACATACATGTGCCCAAAGCCACCAACAGATGCATGCATTCTCAAAAGCTCATGCCTATACGCTTCCATATGCACGCACAGCAGCTCCCCAAGCTGCACACACAGCACAGAGGCTGACATCCTCACCACAAACATGCACAGACAGTATGTGTGTTAACTTACATCCAAGATCAAAGACACCACCAACACCTGTGCAAAAGCATACATAGACACACAGGCCTGCAGCATGAGCACCAGATGGATATAGCCGTCATACCCAAGAGAGCGTGTCTGGAGCAAGGGTCTGCTGGCTGGCAGCAGTGTTCCACTCGGAAGGGTTAGCCTGGGAGGCCAGAGGTCAGTGGCGAATCAGCTAGGGCTCCTTTACACTCCCTGCTAGAGTGGTCAGAGCTTCCAGGAATGTGTCGGTTCCCAGCTGCAGGTCAGACACAGGAGGGGCTGCCCTGCTAAGACTTGCCTTGCCTTCGGCCCGCCCGCCGTGAGCTGGCTGCAGGCCATGCCTCAGGAGCAGACATGTTTCCGAGGCCAGCCTGTTCACCGACCTTAACTGATGCTATATAAAGGAGTAGAGAGATAGGGCTTAGGGTCAACCCTACATTCCCCTGTGGGTTCGCAGACTCGGGGCACCGACAGGGCACACGCTGCCAGAGCATTGGTAACATATACCATGATATTCACCTGCTGCATCACGCATAAGCAGACACACACACACACACACACACACACACACAGTGACCCCAGGCAAAAATACAGTGACACAGGTGAGCTTGACACACCACAGGGTGCACTGGATACACTCGGAAGCCATACAGAGGGAGTTGTTGGTCTGGCAACGTGAATGGGAGTCCTGGCTACCACTGGCTCTGCAAGCCAAGTTCCTCTGCAGGAGGAGTGAAGACACCCGCTCACTGGCGTCACCGGGGACAGAGAGCAGCACCTGCCTCAGGCAGCCTGTCACGTGCTGTGGCCCCTCTTGGGCCTGGGTTGTGCTGGGTTAGGCTGACACAGGTGGCAAAGGTGGCAGACCCTTCAGTGGCCTGAGATTTGGGCCCTCCTAGCCAGCCACTGAATGGGCCTTCTCTGCCCTTCTCAGGACCTTACTTTCTCCATCTGAAAATGAGATAGGGGTTCAAAATCTGTGGGGTCCTTTGGCCTGGAGCAGAGCAGTCAGGGTGAAATGTGGCTACAGGTGCCCTGGTCAGCACGGTGAGGCAGGCCTAGCACACTCTTGATGCTTTCTCCATAAATGGGCCCAGAGTACAGGAGCTGGGGGATGGGTTCACCCCAAGGTAGGGCCAAGCAAAGGGCAGGAATAGAGTCTTCTAGGGCCCCCGGAGACAGAAGAATCTGTCCCAATGAATGGGCACGTGGGCTGGTTCCACCCCTTTCTGTCCCTGCAAACATCACCTGGTCTGCTGCCTGGACATGGCCTGGAGTGGGAAGGGGGTCGAGGGGACCCCTGGCTGCAGCCGTTGTCCTGCTGTGTGTCCATGAGGTTGTGGTCCTTATCCCTCATGGCACAAGCCACTGCAGCACCGTAATCGTTCGGATGTCAGGTCAGGGAGATGACCAGAGTGGAGTGGCAGAGCTATCAGAGTGGTGCTGCACGCAGACTCAGTTCCAGTCCCATTACACCCCCGCGTCTCGGGAGTGTGCCAGCAGGGGCTGATCGTGAGGGAAGAGCAGACCCTTACCCGAGAGTGTAGGGCTACCCATGTGCTCACGTGTGTCTATGCTGTGTGCTTATGCGTGAGTGTGCTTTCCTCCTTCTGTGACCACGGTCCTGCTGCTCACGCTCAGTGCAGATCCCACATGAAGGCCTTGGGGACCCATGCTCCTCCCTGTGGGGGTGTAGGCCCTGGAGGGTCAATCCCAGCTGTGCTGGTCACGTGTTCACTCTTGGCCTGCTCACCTGTTTTGGCCTGGGAAGACCTGTGAGCATTCGGAACCTACCACGGTCCTGATAGAGACACT